CAGTATGATAACATTGAAAAGGATGGCATATTTTTCGTTTTGAAAACATTCCATCCATACAAGTGGATTGAAATCTTCATTCTGAAAAGAGAAGCTAGGAAATAACATTTAAGAACTTGCCTTTCTTTATACAGCTTGTGAAGAATCCAGCTCTTTTTGATGTTCTAGTGATGCCCAACCTTTATGGTGACATTATCAGCGACCTTTGTGCTGGGTTGATTGGGGGCTTGGGCTTGACACCAAGGTATGTTTCTTTTGTTATCTTATACACAGTTTGTGTACTTATCAACAGTATCTATACACTTATATGCATCCATCTTCAATATGTAACACAAATATGTATCATCCCACTTCATTTGACCTCGTACACACAGCTGCAATATTGGTGAGGGAGGCATTGCTCTTGCCGAGGCTGTACATGGCTCAGCACCTGATATTGCCGGAAAGGTTGGTGATCACAGCTCTATGATTTTCACTGCTTTTTTTTAGATGATTATGCAATGTGCATCAATATTTGACTGTTTTGCTTTATGTTTAACTGAAACTTTCATTTCTCCTCGTATCAAATAGCCGTGTTAGACACCCAATACTTGGACTTGGGTATGGGATGTATCTGATACTTTCTGTCAAACACTTTCTATATATATATATATATTATATTTGTATTTAACACTACTAATATATGTATATGTTGTTTAATTTCTATAAAAAGAGTAAAGTGCCCTTTTGACATTGTATGCTACATACAACACTTGTATATCACATAATAGATTAAAAATATAAAATATTACCTTTTTTGCCAAGTCTGTGTACCATTAAATTTGTGGTTTGATGGGTCTGACCTCTAGATATGCACCCGTACTTGAGTCAATGTAACATAGTTCCCGGCTTTGTATTAGACATATATGTGTAGTTGTTTAGCTATTCCATGTGAGGGCCTGACGTAGGAAAAGGATAAAATTGATGGAAGTGTGTTCCTTTTCTCAGGTTCAAGTGTCATTTGTTATTTAAATTCATTTTGGTTGCCATAGAGTAGACATGGCCAGATGAGATAACGTTGAAAACACTACCATTATTCATGAGAGAAAATGATCCAGTTACTATTAAGGTGGATGTGTGGTCATTTGGCTGGAGGGAATACTACAATCTTTAATAAGTTCAATACTCAAGATTGTTTGTGAGAGGTAACACACTATTGCATCTCTAAGAACTTTTGACCAAAGATTTTTAAGGTCTGTCTTTATTGGTTTTTAGCATGTCTCTATGGGATCAATGGAGGACCCTTATATGCTTGAATGACCCTTTGTAAAGGGTAGTGTGAAACTCAACTTAAATATGTTCTTTTGGTAATATAAAACAGTTGTGGATCAGGGACATGATATGAGATTACCTGGGAAATGTGGTAGTTTCTTATTTGATACTGACAGGTATGTAGATGTTTCAGGAAGTGATGTTTTGTCACTAGTTGGTCTCTTTGGAGGCTCCAATTTTGGTTCACATAATAAATGAGATTGTTGACCGTGGCTATCCTTTTTGAAATTTACTGAGCGAAAGGAGTTTTTGTTGAGGATTGTTGTTTGAGCTACTTGTTTTGCTTCTTATTATGCCACTTTGGTATGTTGTTTTACCTTTTGAGGAACTCCTTGTCCTTTCATTACACTCCTATTTTCTTAAGTGCAAGTTTTATCTCCTAAAATCCAACTAGTTAATTGTAACTTTTGCTGTGGTTGAATCTTATGTAGAATCTGGCAAACCCAACAGCTTTGATGCTGAGTGCTGTCACAATGCTTCGCCATCTGGAGCTGCATGATAAAGCTGATCGGATCCAAAATGCTATCCTCAAGACAATTGCCGAAGGAAAGTATCGAACGGCTGACCTTGGTGGCTCTTCATCAACTACTGATTTTACCAAGTCAATTATTGATCATCTCTGAAGAATGCTTCTGCACAGTTGATATTCATCTTGAAGATGTGTTTTAAATATTTTATACTAGTTTTTTGAGTGAATAAGACCACATCACCTTGAAGATATATAAGAAGATTGCCAATTATTGTCTCTGCAATTGGCATGAAGAGAGGCTCACCTGCATGTGGAGAAACTAACCGTGGGTCCGTTCTCGGTCTCACTGGTCTTTGCTAAACATCTAATAGTAAAGACAAGCAACAGAATCTTGTAAGAAATTGTGTGGCAGAGGAGAGATTTGTCCCTCGTCGTATAAAGTACCCAATGTGGTTTGTTATTCTTATTGTTTTGTTCACATGGATGAAATAAAATCTTTGCTATGTTTTTCCTCTTCATATTTGGTCCTTTTATTCATCCATGTTGGGCTAGAACTCAGCACTTTTGTCTGTAACGGCTAGCATGTACAAGGGATTGCCTCTTTTAACTATTATAAGAGTCGCAAGGTTATTTTCATTGAGATAGATTATACATGTTTAAGTTGACAAAAGTTTGTAGCACCTAGATTTCAAGAGCATGGCTTAAAATGTTTCTGGTGTCCATATTTTGTTTTGCTTTTATGGATTAGTTTGCATAATGAGAATTTTCACAAAATTAGATAATACAAAGACGTAAAACGGGTGTTCATGATTGTTGGTAGGGCTATTTTTCTTATCTAGCTTATGAGTTGTTTGTTTTCGTGACTTCTTTTTTTAAATATATTTTTTAGGGCTGTTTTGCTTATCTAGCTTGAGAGGGAGATTTATAATCTGGCTTTGGACCGTGGTAGAAGCCGAACAGAAGATGGACGAGCACGTTTGGGCCGAGCTAACTTGGGCCTATTTAGAGGTTGTTTTGCTCGGTTGAGGTCCAGGACCGAGTTAGGGCTAGGCTACTTAGGCTTGTCTGCGTCCAGAATCGGTCTTGATCAGCCGAGGGTCAAGCCCCGTGTATGGGCCGAGCTTACTCGGCCGAGTTGGTCACCTGCCAACCCGGGTTCCAGGGTTCGCACGTTTAGCTCGACGGAAAGGCTTTCTGTTTGCCGGCTCGACCTGTCTGGAACTCTGCTCTACCAAAATACTATTGATCTCGATTGTTATGGAGCTCGGCGAGTGGACACTGGGATCGTTGTGCAGTCCGGTCGTGTGAAGCCGAGGTGATGCCGCCTGGCTGCTGAGTTCCCGGTAATGTTGTCTGGCGGTTTGGTTAGGTGGTGTTCGCTGGATTTGTGCTGACAGATGGAAGAGCAGCTCAACGTGTCAAGAGATCAATGGGTGCAGAGTTGAGCGCAGAAAATATATAAGTATGATTACGCCCCCCATGCTGAGAGAACATCATTTGGTAAGAAACACTCATTGTGATATATCTCTCTCTTCCTCTCTCTCTTCCTGAGTGTGTGCTAACTTGACCGTCGGAGGGGTTTTCTGGCCACACATCGCTAGGTGGCTCACCGCCGTTATGCTTGCAGGTCGATTGGATAGACAAGGAGCTTGGACGAAAGGAGTACGGGCTCCGCGGAATATTTGCTCCCCGTACATAGCTTGTGATTTGTTTATTTTTGTGGCATTTGTTTTAATATATATGTTTTATGGATTAACTGTTTGATGGATATACAGATATTGGAATGAATTCAGATGATGGGAAAATAGAAAGCTTTTCATTGTGTAGATGAATGGTAAGATTTTGCTATAGACCTTCAATCTTGTTACAACTACAGCTGATATTGAGTATTATGATATGTTTTTAATGGAAAAACACCTTATAGGGGGTGATAATTTAACAGGTAATGAGGGGGTGATTGGTGGAAATCCTAATAGGTTGATTTGTTTAGGATCTATTCCCATTTATATTGTATTTTTTTTTTTTGTTTGTTTTTGGAACTAAAAAAGAAGAAACCTCTTTGTGTACAAAATATGCTAATGTCTGTAGTGGAGGACGGCTCCTGTGGGGGTGTTCTTCGCTCTCTGTTCTCTTCTCAATGATGAAGGTGTTTAGAGATGGCTTGGGGTTTGACATTAATTCTTTTTTGAGTAACTTTTTTAATCTTTCTTTTCTCTTATAAATATTCAAAAACAAGACAAGGATATATAATAATTGTATCATTGAATCAAAAGTGTTAATTGAGAAGAATTGATAGTGTAATTAGAAATGTTAAATATCATGATTTAAGTCTCTCAATTCAGCTGATATAATAAGAAAGTTGAACCTTGTATAATTGAATTTTTAATGAATCAAAAGTTAATACATAATATCACATGTAAAATGTAAAGCACATATAGATGTGTATATATATATATATGTAAGGCATGGATAAAATGTTAAAATAAAAAATTTGTACAAAAATATATAAATTAGTAAGATTATTTAAGTTGATTATTTATGTACTACTTTTATGAGGGGCATAGACGATTTAACTTTTTATTAATTTTAGAAATTACAATTTAAATGAAGCATTTTTATATATTTTATACATTTTAATATTTTAATTTAAAGCTTGTTTTTTTATTTGTATGCAATATTAGATAAATAAATAAATTATTAAGTTAATTTACGATTTTAGTGTTACTCATTTTTGTAGTAACGTTACATATTTTTTTATTAAAACATTTTCAAACTACAAAATGTGTAATAATACTACAAAATACGTAACATTATCATAAAATGTATAACTTTTTATCTCAATCACAAATTATCATTACTCCTTGAAGGGGAGTGTATCATAATGTTTCCCTTAGATTTTTTTGAATGAAAAATGTTAAGACTCATAATTTTGGAACCACAAATTTATACTTAATGATATTTTATTTTATTACAATTTTCTATTAAAATAAAATTATCAAAATGCCCTTATCTTTTCTGCTAAAATCTTAACTTTCTAAACCTAACCCTAGCCACTGGCCACCATTGCTGTAACTCTGCCGCCACAAAATCCCTATTGCCACGAGCTTCCTATCATTGCAAACTCAGTCCGCAAGCTCTCTCTAGCACCCTCGCAACCATCACCATTTATTCTATCAAAATCATAGTTGTAACCCCTTTCTCTACAAATCTCTGGCCACCACAATTTCTCTCTTCAAAACCTTAGTTGCCGGTGATCTCTCTTTATCTCAAAACCCTAGTTGTGCAATCTCTCTTTGTGTGAATCTCTCTATATATCGTGATCACCAGTGTATGGAGAGGGTTGGTGTATTGCAAGTGAGGGAGTTGAGAGTGGCAACGGTCATGAGGAGGGTGTTGGAGAGGATTGAGTAAGGGCAGAGGTGGGAAGGGAATAGTGGGGGAGGTTTGAGAAGGGGCACCAGAGATGGTGGTAGCAACGGAGGTGAGATGAGAGACTTGTGATGGTGGCCAGGGTTTATAGTGGTTCATGGCGGTGGCGAGTGGTGGCTAGGGTTGGGTTAGGTTTCAAGGGGTTAGGGTTATTGTTGATGAGGAAGGATGTGTACTAAGTAAAACTTATATTTAGAAATCATTAAGTGTGTGTGTGTGTGTTGAGAATAGACGTGTACTAGGAGGGTTTAGTATGTAGAACTAAAATTTCCTGTCATGTTATTCATCAGCCGAAAGTAAAAACCCATTCATAGAAATACAATGTTGACCCTCATCAATATTGGAAATTTAATTTATCAAATTCTAATTCTCATATTTAATATAGTTTATGGATAATTTTACCATTATAAATATTTTTTTAACTCTTAGAAACTTAGTAATGTGAGCATTCACATTAAATAAGTTTGATAATATTCACAAGGTAAAGGGGCAATTTACATTTTAAACAAGTCTCAAAAGTGTAATGATAATTTATCCAAAAACAAAATATTCATACTTCAAAAATTAACCAACATTCTTTTCATAATTACCAAAAAATCTTCCAAAAAAAATGGTTGGAAGCTCTAATAAAGAAGCTTTAATGGGAGTGAATTCTACTATGATGTAATGTTTTAGGTTTGATTTTATTTATTTTAATTATTTTTTTTATTTCCTCCCACATCATTAAAACTTAATTAAAATTTTAAAATTAAAAGAATATATCATTGCTCATCTTCCAAATTATTTCTACCAACAAAAGTCAAAGGACAAAAGCGACAAAGAGGGCAAAATACAACTCATCACACTGTTTCCAAAACGTAATTGATTCTGGTAGTAGTATAGATATAGATATGGATATATACTAGAGAGGATTTATATATAGGAAAATTTTGATATACATACTTTTAAAAGAGTATATCATTGAATTTGATTATATTATTATTTTTAATTATAATTAATTTTTTTCTTTAACTATTATATCATTTTAATTATTACACATGATATCTTTAATTACATATCATGTTATAAAAGTTGAGTGTTTCCCATGTATATAACATAAGAAGGCTCTCTCAATGGAAACCACCTGCAATCAGCGATGGAGTAGGAGAGAATTCTATTGGGGATGGGCAATCCACACCTCGACATCTCCTCCGTCGTCGATCAAGCCTTCTTGGACAAGTACTCTCTCTCTCTCTCTCTCTCAAATTGTCTCTTTGTTCCATTCAACTTTTGAATCTCCACTCGATTCGTACACCATTTGTTTGTTGATTTTACCCTGTTGCCAAAGTATTCGATTTGGAATTTTTTTGAGCCGTTGAGCTTCTTGTTATGGTTGTGCAGCTGCCTAAATCATAATATGTGCACCTCCAAAGATTTGAATCTCAAAATTTAAGTAACAATTCTGCAATAGTGAAATCAGTATAATTGATCATCTGCCTCTATTTTGACCTTTTTGGTTGAAATAGATTCATCATTTTAATGTCCATTCTCACGTTCGGCTCACTAAAAAACTGATGAAAAATGTATGTCATAAATGGAATCGTCATTCATCATTGTAATGGAGTAGTAGTCATTTCATAAGAAAGCTAAAGAATGACTTCATTTCCATTATATTTCGTTTCAGTGAACCAAATACTACATAAGCTTATTGCAGAAACTAGAATACACATTTCATTAAGTTTCCCATCACGTGACACATTTTGGAATATTTGCTTTCATGAAAAGGGTATTAATTTTGATTTGTGTGGATTAAAGTTTTGTTGGGTAAAACTCCACTCGTTGTTCTGGTACTGAACTTCACCTACATAAATAGTGAAGTATAACATCTCTCAAGTAATAGCACACCATTATCAATTAATAAAGTTATGAAAAGGAGAAAATGAAGAACAAAAAGAAAAACTTCAAGATCACCTGTGATTTTTTACGTATGTTATACAGCTATTAGAAATTGTAGTGTTGATTGGATGTACAAAATTATTTTCAGAAATCACAATCACAATGTGATCCATTGACCAAGAAAGCGCATTGCACAGTGCATTTGTCATTAAGTTATTGGCTGCATTGATTATCGAACCAATGGTATAATGATGCATTTCTCAGGTATGGTGAAATGGCATCCAAATACAATGTGGAGTACATTGCTGGAGGTAAGGTGGCCATTGCGTGTATGATGTGTTCGTGAAAATTAGTTTCCATAATAACATTTGTCAATATAATTATCAATTAGCAATAAGCTTAATGCAAAATTTTCA